TAATGACGTCTTGATGATCTCAGTCTGCAGCTCGGCCCTGCAATGATTGCGTCTGCTCCAGGCTGGATTTTCTGGGCTTCTTTCCCCTTTAAGGGGCCCTCTTCTTTCCCGTGTAAACACCCATTATCTATCTCCCGCTGCGCAGCTTTCTCTGACCGCAGGGAGAGGGCCCCGAGGGGCTTCCTCGCCACGACCATACTCACCGGGGGGGGGGGGGCCGGCGCGGGGTTAATCGCCCTTTAAGAATTGTAGGCGTGGCCTGAAAGCTCGGTGGCGCGAGGCCGGAGGAAAGTACAGTGATTGGTTTAGGGAACAGGTAGCGAACGTTCTCATTGGGCAGAAGTCCACGGGGCGCGCGGGGGGGGGGGTCTGGAACGGAGGCTGCAGCTCACAAAAAACGGGTTGGAGGACCGTCACACGACGGTTGGCTGGTGCTAGGCTATAGCTGTTTGGTTGTGCGGGTAGAGAGGTAGCAGCCAGACCTACAGGGTGCCTAGGCTGGCGCTTAGGGAAGCACTTGGCTGACGGTGCGAAGGGACATTGCAGACAGGAGGGGGCGTGGCCGTGGCCGCGTTGATTTGCCGATGGTGGGCGTGGTCAAATAGCACCAGACTATAGGGTGGGGGCCGTAGTGGCGCGACAGCTAAAACCCGAGGCAGGCACAGGACAGGTGCCGGGTAGACGCGGAGCGCGTGTTCTCAGCCCGGCGGAGCCATGTAAGTATTGGGGGCCCCGCGCTCCCCAGGGTTCCGGCGCCGAGTCGCGCATTGTCGCAGCTGTGGCTCTGCGGCCCCCGAGCGGGGATTGGGCGCTGTGCCGTGCTGCAGTCTCGTCTGGGGCTGAGCAGTCTGCAGGGAGGGGAGGCTCCTCTGGCCCGTAGGATGTATCCGCCACCTCCTTGGGAGAAGGGGCAGCCTGCGTGCCAGTACCGGCCGCCTCTCCCCGGCTCCTGGCAGCTCCCCACCGCCCCAGGATTGGCTTCCCCATCTCTATTGGTGAGAGTCTCGGCTGGCACGAAATGGCCCTTCCTGCACCTCTGCCTGGCTCCCATCAACGTCTGTGGCCAGACCTGCCCTGCACAGCGGCGTCTGCACTTTTCCGGCCGGTGATCACGCCAGCCTGCCCTGCTCTGCTCTGCCCGGCCACCAGCAGCAGCAGCAGCAGCATCTGCGCTCGTGTGTCGTGTCTTGCTTGCAGCAGCTTTCCCTCTGGCCCCTGCAGTCCACGCCCAAGGGCTCAGAGGCGTGGGGGGGGGGGGGGGGTGTGTCTCTTGCTGTGCGGGTCTTATAGGAAGAGGCTCCGCCATGGAGTTCCATGTTCTAGGGGACTGCCCGGGGATCCTGCTCCGTGCACCCCTGCGCATCAGTGGTGCCTGTCAGGCAAGGCACCAGGTGGTTCTGGCTCCCAGTAGCTGAAAGTAAGAGGTGCGTGGGGGGAAAGGGGGAGGTAAGAGTCTCTTTACCCATGTCGTAATGACATTTGGAATAGGCTCTCCTCTCCCTGTAGGGGCTTGCCTGGGTTTGGGAGGCAGCTTGTCTGCCCTGTGGGCCCAGGGAGCTGCTCTGAAAGTGTGTGTCTTTCTCTTCTCCCCTCTCCCAAAAAATTTGCAGGCTCTAGTTGTCCCAGCTCAAGTGGTGGGATGGTGCTGGTTAGTTTCTTGGGTGCTGCAGGAGGGGAACTTATAAGCATCCTCATTTGTAGTGGTCCTGTGTTGTGAATGCTTCAAGTAGCTGCATTCCCGTGATCAGCTCCCCAGACTGGGAAATACAGCCTTAATTCCTAATTGACAGAAATCAGTTAAAGATGACTGGGGGCAGCAAGATACTTGTTGTCCAGCTGGGCAGATCTCAACAGCCTGCCTGGTGATTCCAGTCCTGCATGCACATATGCAGGTTTACTGCTAGACTCAATTCCCTTCCCTCGCTTCTGTTTTTTTTCTTTAAAGTTGGCCCTTATTTATTGTCTGGCATTAGACACCTATGTGCCATAGAATCCTAGAAATGTAAGTCTGGAAGGGACCTCCAGGTCAAGTCCAGCCTCCTACACTGAGGCTGGGAGAAGTAAACACAAATCAGGTCCAACCTGTTTTTAAAAACCTCCAGTGATGGGGGAATTCCACAACCTCCCTTGAAAGCCTATTCTAACCCTTATAGTTAGAAAGGTTTTCCTGATATCTAACCTGAATCTCCCTTACTGCAGAGGAAGCCCATTACTACTTTTCCTACCTTCAGTGGACATGTAGAACAATTGATCACAATCCTCTAATATCCCTTAACATATTGGAAGCCTGTTATCAGGTTCCCCCTCACTATTCTTCTTCTCAAGACTAAACATACCCATTCTTTTTAACCTTTCCATATAGGTCAAGTTTTTTAAACCTTGCCTTTTTTTGTTGCTCTCCTTTGGACTCTCTCCAATTTGTCCACATCTTGTGCCCAGAATTGGACACAGGACTCCAGCTGAAGCCTCATCAGTGCTGAGCAGAGCGGAACAATTACCTCCTGTGTCTTACATACAACACTCCTGTTAATATATCACAGAATGACATTAGCCTTTTTTGCAACTGCATCTCATTGTTGACTCATTTTCAATTTCTGATCAACTATAACTCCCAGATCCTTTTCAGCAGTACTACCACCTAGCCAGTTATTCTCCATCTTGTAGTTGTGAACTAAGGACATGGCTACACTTGCAGACGTAGAGCACTTTGAGTTAAACCAGCCTTCGTAGAGCGCAGTAGGGAAAGTGCTGCAGTCTGTCCACGCTGACAGCTGACAGTGCACTGGCGTGGCCACATTAGCAGCTCTTGCAATGGCCATAGAGAGGAGTGCATTGTGGTAGCTATCCCAGCATGCAAGTGGCTGCTGCGTGCTTTTCAAGTGAGGGGGGTGGGGTGGAGTGTGTTGTGTGTTTGTTGGGGGAGAGAGAGAGTGGGTTTTTGTGGGGCTGAGAGCATGTTGGCATGCTGTCTTGTAAGTTCAGACAGCAGCAGACCTCCCTCCCGCCCCTCTCTCACACAGCATTCCACAGTAGCGGTGTGCATGCAGGCTGTCAGAAACGGAACTTTGAAAGGGCATTTCCGCATTCCTACCAGGAGTTCAAAACAATGACAAGAGTGGCCACTTGATTTAAGGGGATTATGAGACGTTTCCAGAGGCTGATCAGAGTAATGCAACACCTTGTTCACACCGTGTGTTGTAGCCAAGGTGCAGCAAATGTTATTCCTCTCGCCAAGGTGGAGTACCAGGAGCGCTTTAGCTGCGGAGTCAGAGCGCTCTACGTGCCTTCCCAGTGTGGACGGGGAGTGTGCTAGTGCGCACAGGGCTCCTTTATTGCGCACTAACTTGCAAGTGTAGTCAAGCCTGAAGTCTACTACATCACACTTGTTTTTAGTGAATTTCATCTTGTTAAATTCAATTCCCCAATTTCTTACGGTCGTTTTCAATTCTAAACCTATCCTCCAAAGTGCTTGCCACTCCTCCCAGCTTGGTGTCATCCATGCATTTTATAAGCATAATTTCAATGCTATTATCCAAATCATTAATGAAAATATTCAGTAGTGCTGGACCCAGGATTGACAATCCTGCCCCTCCTCCCCCCCCCTTCCCCAACCCCCATGGGACCTCACTACATATCCTCTCCCAGTATGAGATCCTGTATCAGTTCTTGAGCTTTCTCCTGGCTTTTTAGTTTGGGACTTGACTCCTGAGTTCTGCTTTTCTCTTAAATCTGAGGTTCGTAGATGGACCCATATTACTTTGTTTCCTCTGTTGGGTATGTCTCCTTGTCTCATCAGGTCTGATCCAGCTCAGCACTCTGCTCCCAGGGCCCCAGAAGGGGGTGCTCTTGGTGGGGGTCCCCCTGGGCCTCCCCCCAACATAAGTAGTAACCTTCGGCTGCAGCAGTCCCAGGCCCAGATGGAGGAGGTAAGTCAGTGTCTCATGAGCTTGGTCTCTTATTATTTTGTATTATCATATTGCCTAGGACTAGTGAGATGGACTAGAATCCCGTTTTTGCTTTTGTGCCTCCCTCTGTACCAGTGTAACATGCTTTTTTTTTTTTCCTTCTTCTTTTTGCAGGTGGTGAGCATAATGAGTGTGAATGTGGAGAAAGTGCTGGATCGAGACATAAGGCTTACCGAGATGGATGGCAAGGCAGAGGCACTTGAGGCTGGTGCCTCAGTGTTTAAAACTAGTGCAGGAAAGCTAAAGAGGAAGTACTGGTGGAAGAACTGTAAGGTGAGTCTCCCAACCCTTTCATCTACCTTCCAATGAGGCCAGATCTGAAGTTGTTCGTGTCTCCTTTGGCTGCATCCAGAGGCCATGGGTGGGGGGGTGGCACATGCAGGGTCACATGATGTGGCCGGGCCCCTTCCTGCCGAGCAGCTGGGCCAGCAAGCCAGGCATGGAGAGGCAAAGGCAGGAGTGGAGTGGTGTATGACTTGAATTTTTCTGGGGTTGTGCCCCTCCCTCTCTTCTCCCTTCTCCCCCACTCCCCGTCAGCAGGCACAGGTAGTCTGTGGCTGCATCAAAGTGAAGCTGGGGTTATAAGACAGTTGCATTTTGTACAGTTAGGGCTGTGGTTTCAGCATGAAGCTGCCCCAAGCCCTCTTTGGAAGGCAAGGTACACAGGAAGGAGAATGACCTGGATCTCTTCATACCCTCCCTGAGGGGTTGTGGAGTGCAGCCTTCCGCTGAACCCCTGCTGCTTCCTCGCTACTCTGCATGAAAGGCCTTAGGGACTGATTGTGGGGGTGGGGAGAAGATTAGAGATGGGAATCAATTGGGTCAGCACTGCATCCATGGCCTAGGATTTGAAGAAAACTTGCTGTGCTGCTAATTAGGACTTGCTGCTCCCCCTTCTTTGGAGACTCCTGACCCAACCTGGACATTCATCTCTTGGCTGTTTGAAGCAGGTTCGTGACACTGGGGGTTGGAAAGAGGAAATGCTATTTTGCACCAGGCCATGCTGTATGGAAGGACTGGAACCCTGAGCTTTCTTGTCTCTAGGGTGTGGATGAGATGCCTTGGGAGTGCTCAACCACATAATAACCCCTTCTGAGAGTATTAACCCTTCATAATCTTTCTCCCCAGATGATGATCATGCTTGGAGTGATCTGTGCCATTGTGATGGTGGCGATTGTACGTAAGTACCATATAGAATCTGAATGGAGGGTCAGGGAGCCCCCAAGTCCTGGAAAATGCCACCGTCTCCCTTTTGGTTAAGGGACTGAAGGTCTGAGAGTACCCTGCATGTTCAAGTGGTAGCTTCTGCCTTCTGGTTAAGGGAAAAGGTACCTTCCAAATGCCTGGTGAAGGGTGGAGTATCTGGGAAACTCTACAGGGAAATGGTATGTTCGAAATAGCATATAAAGGACCCAATCCTGAGAGCTCTTTCTCTTTGGGGGAAATGGGACCTTCCCTCTACTGGGACAGAGGAGTTCTTCCCCCAAGTGTGAAAGGCATGGGAGTGGAAGGGTTGGGAAGTCCCTAACTTGGCTGGGGGTTTGTAGGCCTCAGTTGCCTACTGTGGGGACCTTGGTATAACTTGCCCTCTTGTTTTCTCCTTTCTCTTTTCCTTCTGTTGCATTCTGTCTCCAGTTTACTTTTGTACTTGAGAATGTGACCCTTCAGTCTGCAGTCCACCTTCCCCTCTTCCTGTCTCCTTCCTTGCCCACGCTCCCCCCTCCATGTGGCTGCTTCATCTTCAGTTCTTTTGTTGGTTTTGTTTGTCTTCTGTGTAAGATTCTGAAGCAACTCTCCTGGACCTAGGCTTAACGCCTTCAACATCTGCTGCAGCCTCAGGGAGGGTCAGCTCACGTGGGGGGGGGGGGGAGATGTTGCTTCCATTCTTATGTTTGAGGGTAACTTTTTTTAATCCGAATTTGAGTGAGGCATGGCTTAGGTGTCCCCTTCATCACAGCTGTACCTAAAGGGTGTAGTTCAGCAATGTGAGCTTCCTCAAAGCAGTTCCCTGGCAGTGGTGAGCCTAGAGAGCAGGAGGGGGACTCCAATGTGAAATTGATTAGAGTAGTGCCTCACCTCAGAGGAGAGCATCTGGCCTCAGCTCTTGTGGAGTTTCCCTTTAACTGCTGAAGTCTAAACTAGTTTATGGTGGTCACTTATCCTTCAGCTTCCCACAAATAGTGATGAGTTGTGTCTTGCTCATGTTGTGGCAGCTCTCAGCTTCATAGAATGCAACAGGAAGGGTTGATGATCCTTTTTCCTACACCACAAGGACAACAGCAATTGTTCTATCGGGGGTTGGTATTCCTGTAACTGGTACAGACTTGTCAGGATGTCATCCTGGTTAGCTACTGGCATGCATTTTACTGAGGAAGTCCAGGGCGTGGAGGGAACAGGACTAGTAGAGGGAGTGAGAGGGAATTCTGGATTTTTCTTGCTTCATCAAGCTGTGTGCCTCTTTCTGTTGCGTGAAGGGAGACATAGGTTGGGGAGTCCCAGGTGGGGGGAGTCTCTGTTGCTTAAATAGTCAGCTGAGCAACTGCACCCTGTGTGTATTTCTGGGCAAGTCCCCATCTTCTGCTCTGTTCTTTCTCCAAAGCCTCATTCTCAAGGAGTTACAAAAAATGGTAGTAAAGTAGAGTTCTGCGCTGAGAAAGAGCTTTGGGAAAATGTCTTGAACTCAATATTCAGCAACTCTTGGATCTCAGCAAATCTGCTTGGTTCACAAGCTTAAAACTTCTCTATATGTGAATGCTACAAACTCTAGTTTAGACTTTTGAGTCCAGACTGGGCTCTCCAAGGTTTCTGGGAAGGTGGGGAGTTGGGAGCAGGTGAAACTGTATAACCTACTGTGGGTAAGTCACTTCTCTTGTGCCCCCATTTTCCCATCTGTGAAAAGAGCTACACTGCTCCTCTGAGTCCTTGAAGTGTTGTGGTGAATTCTGTGGATGAAATGAGCTGCACGGTTTGTGTGCAAGTCCCTACAGAACCTCTTGTGAGTATTTTGTTCTCAAACAGAACCACTGAGGGAAGAGTGTAGGGAGAAGGAGCAATGCTCCCTGTATTCTGCACCAGAAGGAAGGCTTCCTCAGTTCAGGGAGCCCTGGCTATGAATTAGAATGCACTGGGACTTATGTGCAGGGACCAATGATGCTGGGAAGAGGGATGCCATCTGTGGGGCTTCATGGGTGTAAGGTAGACGGAATGCTAGTAAAGGAAAAAAAGACTCTCTTGCAATAGGACATTCTGGGAAGGGTATGGGTTTTGCTTGCTCATCTCCATGAACCAGCATTTCATTTGCGCTGAGTCCATATCCCTGTAATTCCGCATCCCTCCCCACCTTGGGGATGGCAAAACTGAAGATCTGGAGTGAAGTGGCCCTTGTTCTTTGAGTGCTTCCCACTATCCTCTGTTGAATTGAGCTGTGGAGATGGATGGACAGAAGTACATCTGCTGAAGAGGAGCTAGGGCCTGATTGTGCTGATGCCATAATTTGTGGGGAGGGCAAGCAAGATGATGCAGGGCTCCCAAGCCAGCAGGTATTGCTCAAACTTTCTTGGACAAGCCCTCCCCATCCCTCCTGTTCCTCCGGGGCTGAGGCCTCTGGGCTGTTTCTTCCATTTATCTTTCTGTTGGGGATTTGTATGTTGTGCCCCTCTTTCTGGTTCTTGGTGTGTGGGCAAAAAAAATTTCCCCACCCCTGTCGTTCTGAGCCTAAAGCCAGGAACTTCCTTCCCTGTCTACGTGGCTTCAGTGGCTGTCTCACACATGTGTGATTTGTGTCTTTTCTCTATTAAACACAACTGTAACCTTCTCGTTGGGCATGTATAGCACCCACCTCATGTACTTTGAACTCTCTATGCTAATAAACACAGTTCCACTCCCTTACTTTTGTCTGCTTGGTCTGCATATAGGTGGGGAAGGGTGGCCCTGGACTACTGCTGGGGCTGAGCGAGCGGGGGCTGACTCCTTCGTGTCTAGCCTGAACCGCTCCAGCGGGTGAGAAGGGGGAAGGTCATACACCTTCTGCAATTCCAGGGTTGGGAAAACGAACCTCTTGTCTCTAGGGCAGTGGTTCTCTTCTGGATCTTAAGTGCATAGCTGGTTCTGAGTCATTCTATTTTACTGTATCTCAAGTATGCCCTTGAGAGGAAAGGTGACAACTCCGAACCCTGTTACTATCAGCGTCAGGAACCTGGGTTAGTAATTGGTGCTTGGCCCATAGAATGTAATGGAGCCTGACCTACCTGGCTCTTCTGCTGTACACCATCAGGCAGTGTCTTGTGTCCAAGAGGAAGAGCATTAGGTAGGAGTGGTAACTTATGAGAGGGCAGACAACTGTTCATAATGAGGGTGGGGGAAGATATGTACTCTGCCTCACTGAAAACAGACTTTACTAAGGCTAGAAGTAGTGGAGTCCAGTGCTGTTTGAACTGTGTTGCAACTGGGAGGTTATTAGAGACAGTTCAGAGGAAATGTAGGAATGAGGGGCTCAAAGGAGATGTCCATAAACAGAAGGACACTGAAAGACCTGGAGTTTAAATTTAAAAAGGAATTTAAAGGAGACCATCCCATTTATCAGATGGGGTAGTTAGTGGGTGCAATATGTAGGGAAGGGAGTCAGAGGAAAAACACAACTAGAGAAGAGGGAGTTGAGAGCTACACCCCCCTAAGACAAGGAGGAGGTAATTCCCTTTGAAGAAGGGAGTTATTGAGGAAACACCGATCAGAGGAAAGGGGTCTTGGTGGTGCTCTATATATGTGGTTCCTAAGCTGTGGGCTGTGACAGAGTCCCAGGTGTTCTGCTGGAGTGGAGTTTAAGGGGGCATTGCGTGCTGGTGGCCCCTGAGCCTTTCTGTCATTTCCGGGTAGGGTGTGCCTGTGAAGGATTGGGGCAGGTGGGTGGGTTACTGGGGCAGGGCTGCTAGGTGACAAGCTCAGGTACTTAGTGGGCTGTGGAAGCGTTGGCAGGGACTAGCTGTGGCACTGGTCTGGAGCACCCCCAGCACCCCTGTCTCCCCCTTTCCCCAAGATTTAGTCAGGGGTATTTTTAGTACAAGTCATGGACAGGTCATGGGCTGTGAATTTTTGTTTACTGTCTGTGACCTGTCCATGACTTTTACTAAAAATACCTGTGACTAAAATGTAGCCTTAACAATAATGTATGCAAGATGTCCAGATGCCCACAAAGTGACACTGACAGGCATTTACTCATTAAGATACCCATGAAGGCATGGTAGCAGAGTGGCATTAAAAGTCAAACATACGTTCAGCTGTCCACAAAAAAGGTAGATACTCAGACTGACAGTCACACATACTTTGAACCAATGCTATAATGAAAAGAAAGTGAATTCACTTCAGACGAACAATGAGAGACTTTGTAAGACTATTTGTGCATGCTGCCATACATGCAAAGACAGAGGGACTCCGAGTGGTAATGATAGTCCCATACATTCACAGAAATGTCACTGATGCTTTATTAGCATGCTACCTTATGCTGCCAAAGTGTAAAAGAGACAGACATCTTTTGCATGTCTGTCAGGCAAATACAGTTGCCAGAACAGGGTTTCATGCTGTTTGGGGTTCCCTCTGCTTAGTCCATTTGTCATGTATCTTGTCATTTATGTCCTGATGCAGTGACAGATGATTTTATAACATAATGGCATCTCTCATGTTGCTCTCCTGTCTCCAAGCATTGGGCACCATGTTGCACACAGTCAGAGACAGACTCCTATCCTAATGGCCGGGCAGTGCCATTATAATTAATGATGTTTCATGACCTCCATTGCAAGGTTGACCTTTCTAAGTCCTCTGACTAAACATGTTGATTTTAGATTCCTTTTGAAATTTGGTGTGCCACTGAAGGCTACTGGGTAGAGTTAGTGACCCAAATTTGGGATCACTTGAGCTATAGGTTGGGGAGAAAAAAAACTGAATAGCCTTTTTCAAAAAAGGGGTGTGTGGGGGCACGTGCTCTGACCTGCAGATTAAACTGTTGATGTGATGTCAGTCAAAATGGTCTCAATCTGTTTAGTTTTACCCAAAGTACATTTTTGAGGGACCAAATGTGAAAACAGTATTTAAGAAAATGGTCAATTTTTGTACAGTGCCACTGTACCACTACAGAAAAATGTCAGGAGTGTTTCCATTCCCACCATTTTATATGCTTTAAAGCTTGACTGTCTTGTAAGTGCTCTCAAATCTGAACAGTTACTTGGATTGATTTGAAATGTGGTGTGCCTCTAAATTTGGGGTCACTTGGTCATGAGATGCCCAAGTTACAGAGCCACCTTCCAAAAGATGGTTTCCGTCTGCTGCCTTGTGCTATTAAACTGAGAGGTACTAATGACTGGATGAATCATACCTTGTTGAGAATGAGGATTGTGAACTCACCCTTCAGTTAATGTAACTAAGAATAAATTTATCACAAGCGCCTACTTATGACAAAAGAGTTCTGGACTGAGTGGCTGGAGCTTGCTACAATTTGTGAGTTATAGGTAGTAATTTTATTTTTGGGGGGGGGGGAATTAGACATGTGAATGGTTCCTGGGAGGGAAGAGTTATTAGGGGGTGGAAGGAGGAATTGGGGGAGAGGGGTTTGGTGCTACAGTGAGTAGGGGGTGTATGGGGATGGATTGTAGGTCAGAGATGTGGGAATTAGAGAGAGGTGGGAGTGGGACACTGAAGGGGGAATGGCTGAGTGGCAGGAGGACTGGGGAACAACTAGGGGTAGGGGCACCTAGCAGCCCCACATTCTCCCTTTCCGTGTGTGTGACCAGACCTGGGGGACTCTTGCTCCTTTAGGGGAGTTGGAGTCCCCATTCCTGCCCCTAGGGCCATCTATAGTGCTTGGATGCCCCACCCCATGTCAGCTGGGTTGTGGGTGGCTTGCCCTTTTGGGAGGATCATAGGCCCCCTCTCGGCTCCCATGTAAGCCAGGATCTGGGGAAGTCTTGCTGCTTTTGATGGGAAGCTGAGAACAAGTATACTTCATGCATATTACAGGCTCTAATCTAAAGTACTCATGAGGGCATTGGGAACCTGCACTGAGATGTGTGGAGCAGTTCACATGCTGTTGTTTCAGGCTGGGGTGTTCTTAATCAGCTGGGATCATCACATTGAGAAGAATGGGCCACTTCACACCTTTCAGAGCCTCCTATGCTGCAGATGGCTGTATAGAGGAACTTTTTCCCTCCATTGTCCCTCTATCCTTCCTGTTTAAAGGAGGACACTTCTAAGAACTTGTCTTCATGTACAGTGCTACACCATGTACTCCTGGGGGAATTCTACACCACTGTGCATGTCCATAATTAATGGACCATGCATATTTAAAATGTTTTTTGCAGAAAATAGCTTCTGCAAGATAATTGCTGCAATTATGCCTTTTGCCCACCGGAGGGCACTGTTGTGCTAGAACACAACAGCTGCTTCCACCCAGCTAGGGAAGAGAGAGAGAGCCTGTAGTGCCTTCCTCACAGCACCTGTCGGCCCAGGTCAGGAGACAGGGACAGTGGGGGGGAAAAAAAGACAGCATAGAGCTGCCTGGGAGGTTAGATGGGCTCCTAAGGGCTAGTGGGGAAGAACAGATTGGGGCAGGGGCTGAATGGGAGTGGAGGCACAGGGCCACATGAGGATGGGTGGGGTGCAAGACCACACGTGGGAAGGGAATCCCTGAGTAGGGGCACAGAGACACATGGGGATGGGGGAGTGAGTGAGTGGGGGTAGTGGGACATATGAGGTGCAGGCACACATGGGGACAGGGGCAGATGTGCATGACTGAATAGGCAAGGCTAAGAGTCAGCCAGGATATGCATGGGGGAATCTCTCTAACAATCCCTCCCTGCCCCCTAAAAAAACCTGTTCCATATTTTTCCCATCCATACCCAACAACCCTCCAAGTTCACACCCAGGCTTCTTCCCTGCAATTATTTCCCTTTCTTTCAGCTCCTCTGTTATCCCTCACTCCCCCAAGCCTTTGCATTGGTTCTGAGGGGTGCAGGAAATATATGGTTCTGTATTGTAGTTTAAATGAATTATTACTCAGAGTTCTGTATTAATATGCCTAGTAAGGAATCTGACAAAAAACATTTCCTGAATCTTTTTTGTTGTCTGTATTGTTACAGAGACACTTGCTGACCGGTATTTTGAAATAAATTACCAAAATAATTGAAACTGGTGTGATTATATTGTGTTATTTTGACAAAATATGGAGGATTTTAAAATATTGTGCACAGAATTTTTTTTATTTGGGCACAGAATTCCCCCAGGAGTAACTATGTTGGCGTAGTTAATCCACCTCCCTGAGAAGCGGTAGCTATGTCGGAGGAGAAGCCCTCCCGCCAACATAGCACTGCGTACCTGGAGGGTTAGGTCGGTATAACTATGTCGCTCCGGGGGGTGGATTTTTCACACCCTTGAGTGACATAATTATACTGATATAGATATGTAGTGTAGTCCTGGCCTAAGTGCTCTAAAATCTCTATGCTTGCAGAGATTTTCTTGAAATTTGCAACCCTTCATAGGAATGCAGAGTAGGACCCAGAAATAGACGCCCTGGAAAAAAATAGCAGTTTTTCAGAAAGTTTTTAGGTGGGGCTTTTGTGTGCGTACAGAATTAGAGATCAAACTACTGCTGTTATGCAGGTCAAAAATGGTCTCAATCGGTCAATTTTTGTGCAAGGTAGTGCCACCCACTGAGTCTTTGAGGGATCCAAATTGTGAATGGTGTTTAAAAACATGTTAATATTTTTGCTTGCGTGGATGTGTAATCTGGAAAGATTACAGTGTGTGAATGTGCCAATGTAGCGGGGTGGACACCTGGTCCTGCCTGGAAGGGCTTGAAAGCAGCCCTGGAGAGGGCTGTAGCTCTAAAAGCTGGGCTGATT